GCATTATGCGCTATATAGATAACTTATTTTTACTATTATTAAATTCTTAACAGTTATAATTATAGTTATAATTACTATAATGAAAACTATAATTAATTGAGTTATTATCCATAATAAACCGTAGAGATACTGGATAAGATTGATATCCAAAGGATGGAAAACCATAGAGTCATCCCGTTCAACGAGTTGTGGGAACATTATAGAATCGGGTAGGACCGTGTGGTTCAACCCCAGGGCGTGCCCTATTTCGTGTACGGCCACTTTGAATATGTTGCGGTCTGCGTGTGTGTGTATGTGTATGTGTGTGTGTGTGTGTGTGTGTGTGTGTGTGTGTGTGTGTGTGTGTGTGTGTGTGTGTGTGTGTGTGTGTGTGTGTGTGTGTATTTGAATGAACACGGAAACTTGCTCGGGAAAGTTAAATCAAAATTTTATAACTCCAAAAAAAAAATTATCATAATTTCATTAATATAAAATATCGACCAATCACGTACAAGGATAATCTCCCAAGCCCCAGTTCCTATTTAAGAACATGTGTAAGTGACCACTTGTCGGATAAAAAGCATGAGCCAGTATGTCGCCTAAAATATTTTTTAGTGTATTTTAACTTTTTTTTGTTATAGCAGTAATAATGGTATAGGTAGTAATATTAGTAGTGGATGGCAAGGGCATCAGTAGCAGCGATAGTAGCAGCTGTAGTAGCAGAGCAGTAGTAATATTAGTAGAATGAGAAAATCTTAGAAAATGAACTAGATCTACGTAATGCTATTATTCAATATTTGTAATCAATTTTCAAATGATTTCAGATGCAAATAATTCACATTTTATACTTAGATACGCCCTTCTATAGAAAAAATTTTAAGAACTGTAACACAAAATTTATATTCACAAAAAGTTTTTAAGAATATCACGAATGAATTTCTTTCCCACAAAAATTTATTCCTTGATCACACAAACTCACCTGTAATATCGAACGGAAAATTGTCGCCGTGATTTCCCCGATAAAAATTGATCTTTAAATCTGCGACCTTCAATCTCCCGATTTCCGTAAAAGTCAATCCACAGACTTCCTGCCAGGCCTTGAATGCATTTCGAAATACTTCCTTGACGGTGTTGCGCTCCAACTTTTTTGTATAAGTTCCGAATCTAAAGTAGTAGTAGTAGTAGTTGTTGTTGTAGTAACTGTAGTAGTAGTCGCTGTAGTAGTAGTAGTAGTAGTAGTAGAAGAAGCAGTAGTAGTAGTAGTAGTTGTTGTAGTAACTGTAGTAGTAGTAGTAGTACTAGCAGTAGAAGTAGTAATAGTAGTAGTAGTAGTAGTAAAAATCCGACTCTAAATTAGTATTATTATTAGTAGTAGTAAAAGTAGTAGTGGTCGGAATAGTAGTTTTAGGTAGTAGTAATAGTAGTAGCAGTAGTCATTTTCATTTATAAGTTGTAATTAGAAAGATACTAACGCGAAGGTTAAATGACTCTTCGGCCATTTTGAGACCGTGTATAGTTGGTACATGTCGTTGTTGCTCCGCTTGTCTCTGAGAAAACATTTTTTTTTTGCTTAATTCACAGTTTCATTACTACTGATATAACTATTAGTACTACTGCTGCTATTGCCGCTACTACTACCGCTACTACTACCACTACTACTGCTGCTACTACAAGTAATAATAATTATATTTGTGAAACTACTACTACTACTACTTCTGTTATAGCTATTACTGTTGCCGCTGCTATGACTACTACAACAGCTACCACTACTACTACTACCACTACTACTACTACTACTACTACTACTACTACTACTACTACTGCTACTATTACTACATTACTTCATAATGTAAATATTCAAAATTTTACAAACCGTTTCACAACATCGCCTGATTGATCCGAGAGGTTCTGATGGGTGTTGTCATCTTTCTGGTGAAAGTAAATAGTAGTAGTATTAGTATTAGTATTAGTAGTAGTAGTAGTAGTAGTAGTCTAGAAGTAGTAGTAGAAGTAGTAGTAGTAGTAGTAGTATTAGTAGTAGTAGTAGTAGTAGAAGTAGTAGTTGTAGTAGTAGTAGCAACAGCAGAAGTAGTAGTAGTAATAATAATAATAACAATAATAATAATAACTGATGGCAAACATACGTCATGTAAGAGACTAGCTGTGCTAAGCCAGTTGAAAACGATCAGTGATAATAATAAAGGACGGACTAGATCTTTTATAATTCCCATACTTCTGAAAAAAATTTGATTAAAAATAATAATTCTTTTTGTTGTGTTAATAACAACAGTAATAATAATAATAATATTATTATTATTAATGTTATTATTATTAGTTTATTTATTTAACTCTATTTAAGACAAACTCTTTAAACAATTGGTTATGTGAAATTTTAAAATACCTTCACTTAGCGTTTAGTAACATCTTCAGAATGATTTAAAAGAAGTAATTATTATTATTAATGTTGTTATTACTATTATATATTATATATATGTGTACAGTGAGAGAGAAAGAGAGAAAGAGAGAGAGAGAGAGAGAGAGAGAGAGAGAACTTTTCTTGTCTTTCTGAATGTCAATCCAGCCAGCAATTTCAATTTAAAGTCAAACTATAGTCAAGCTACAAACAAGAAAATATGGATGCGTGTGTATGAGTGTGTGTGTGTGTGTGTGTGTTTGTGTGTGTGTAATATAAGCAAAATAGGAAAACTTCAATATTGATGTTAGCAAGAAAAAGAGAAGAATTAACGATCGAGCTGATTATGAGGTGTGGAAATTCAAATAGTTTTTTTTCAACAAGAAATAAAAAAATGAAAATTTTAAGAAAACTGATTAAAAAGTAATCCTAGTAGTATTAATAGTAAAAATAATTATTCTAGTATTATTAGTAAGAGGGGTTTTGGTACTAATCTTGCCACTACTTTTATTATTAGCAGGGGTGAAGGGCCGCATATGTACTTAAATAGCAAATATTTTTGACTCAGAGTAAAATTTTTTTAAGATCTGTGGCTCCTTTTTTGGTAATAATGTCTGGCTGACGACATTTTTTTGGCATGCGGCTGTAGTTTGCCCACCACTGATTTATAGTATTTGAATTCTCTTTTTAGAAACATGAAGGACAAACAAACATTTTTAAAGTTTTTTTTTTAAATTTCGTTTTTCAGGAAATCAAATCAATTAAATAAATACATAAAGACGCTAATACTGCTAATTAGTGTCACTGTTATTGATTTCAGCTAGTATTTCTACCATTACAATCGTCGTATTTAGTATATTAACACAAAAAACCCTTGAAAGTATGAGTATATCCCAATTATGCTATACGATAGTACGTTATGTGAAAGTGCGTCGTATGATACTACGTTATACGAGAGTACGTTATATGAGAGTACGTTATAATCAGTCAAAGTCGTAAGTAATTTTAGTACGGCAGCGAAGTAGGACATCTCCAGCGGACTTGGGGTAGCCGGGCTCTAGAAACCTCTTCGAATTGGGAGTTAAGTTTGTGTGGTACTTGTATTTGTACAACCAGACGCCTTTTGTCAGGTAGTAGTAGTCTGGGGAAATTGTTTTTCTTGTTATTATTATTATTTATTATTATTATTATATTATTATTATTATTGTTGTTGTTAATAAATAATAATATAGCATTGCGAATTTCAGTCAACTTCTTCCAATCGGTTGGCAATAATTTGGAAAAAACTATTTATGACATATTCGTATATTTATGTTATTCATTTAATTATTTATACTAATTAATATTTAATTATATTTATTTTATTCATTCAACTAATAACAATAATTAGTAATAAATTAGTAATATTGTATTTGGGCAATTATTTTCCTCCAGTGCCTACCCACCAACCTACGTCTCTGGCTTGTACCCCGCCTGTGGGGGGCCAAGGAAAGGTGCTCCAAGCTTTCCTTCCGTCCCTAGGGTACCCCCTAAACTTTAAAATTTTAAACTCATCCGACATTTTGAACTTCCAAACTAGGTCACCGATGACGATGAAAAATTCGGTCCAAGAGACCGAGAAGGCGGCGGTGATTTTTTTGAACTTTCTCCGAATTAGAGTGTTGAGATTTTGGGGTTTTTGTGTAACGTAGACTTTGCTCTGTGTGTTGTAGATTATGTAGTACTGACCTGCGTGTGTGTGTGTGTGTGTGTGTGTGATGTGAGTGTGTGTGTGTGTGATGTGAGTGTGTGTGTGTGTGTGTGTGTGTACAATTTCCTAACCACTAAAGAAGACGTTTACTCTGTTGAAACCAATGACAGCGTCGATACTTAATATCTGAAAGAGAGTTTTTGATGGTTGGATGTACCTTGAAATGATTTCTCTGGACAAGCCTTCGTCAAGGAAGCGAATCAATTTTTTCTTGGTGAATTATTATTTTCGTTTTTTCTTTCATAAATTAGTTTTTTATTCACAATAAATTTCATTTTTGTCGATACATTAATATTTTTTATAACTAATTTTAATATTAGTTAAATTCTACTACTATTACTACTACTACTACCACCACTACTACAACAACAACAACAACAACTACTACTACTACTACTACTACTACTACTACTACTACTACTACTACTACTACTACTACTACTACTACTACTACTAGAAGATGTAAAACTTCTCAAAAATGAACATTTAAAAATGTCAAATTAATTGACTAAAACAGATAAGCTTAAGACTCCAACCTTGTCGTTTATAAAAGCGAAGTATCCTCCATTAATTTGGAAGATAATTTTTGCTTTGATTGGCAACTTGCAGCGGTCAGTTCGGCCCGGTTGGACAACTTTTAAAGTCGGTCCTCTGTCACTAGTGGCTATTTTTTTGTTCCTTTTGACATCATTGCCTTTGTTTGGCCTTCTCGAATTCGTCGGTCCTGCGAGTTATTTTAGATAAAAATTTGGAAAAGAATTATCCAAAAATCGCGTTAATTTAATTTTTTGTAATGAAAACTAATAAATATTCTTCATATATATTAATTAAATTGTTAATTTTTCACATTCAATATAGTCAGAACCAAAAAATCTTTATACCGTAAAGATATTGAATCAGTTTTATATCCAGTGTATGGAATCGGAAATAATCCCACTCGATTAGATTCGGAAACATTATCGAACCCGGTAGTTCTGTATGTTTTAGACCGAGTGAATGACCGATTTCATGTACCGCCACTCTGAAGAGGTCGGTATCTTTTTGAAATGGCGGTAAAATGAACAAATGAATGTGCGAATGGATGAATGCATGAGTGAATGAATGAATGAATGAATGAATGAATGAATGAATGGATGAATGAATGAATGGATGAATGAATGAATGAATGAATGAATGAATGAATGAATGAATGAATGAATGAATGAATGAATGAATGAATGAATGAATGAATGAATGAATGAATGAATGAATGAATGAATGAATGAATGAATGAATGAATGAATGAATGAATGAATGAATGAATGAATGAATGAATGAATAAATGAATGAATGAATAAATGATTGACTGAAAGCACATAATAAAAACGATGAGAAATATAAAACTAAAAGCCAAATCAAAGATATTTTAAACTTATACAATTCAGTATAAAAAATGCTAACAAAAAATTATTGTAAAATAAGTTATATTTTTGCCATTTTTTTAAATAAAAATTAAAAATTAACATAAATATAAATAAAGAAAAAAGTATACATGGATATCTCCCGAAACCCCAATTCTCATCAAGGTCAAAGTGAATTCGCCCATCTTTCGGAAAGAAGGCGTGGCCGAGAGATACTCCTAGTGTTGGAAAATTCCAATTTAAAAAAGTTATAATTATTTCTAAAAGATATTATTCGCGAAATAATTTTTTATAATATTGATCAGGTAGAGGAAATATTAGCATTGCAAAAAATAAAGTCACCTCACCACAATTCAAAACCAACACCTGGTATCGATTTGTATCACGCATACTACAACCACATCACTAACTGCTGCTACAAACACATCCACATGACAGCAAATCCAGTCGCTACTACAACCGCTACAGCCACACATACTACAGCCACTAAAACCACACATACTACAGCCATCAATGCCACACATACTACAGCCACCAAAACCACAAATACAACAGTCATCAAAGCCACACATACTACAGCCACAAAAGCCACGACAACCTCTGCCGTCAAACGGCATGCCATCACCGTGGTCTTTCTTGTAGAAGTTAATTTTCAAATCGGCTTTTTTCATCCTTCTGATCTCACTGAACCTAAGACCACACTGACCCTGCCAAGCCATAAACGCATTCCGAATTATTTTTCTTATTAGCTTTTCTCCCATTTTTTTGGTGAATGTTCCGATTCTTTTGGGGTTTTGTGATGGATTTCAGAGAGATAGTTGTGTGTTTTGTGTGTGTATGTTTGTGTGTGTGCGCGCGCGCAATTTGTTTGTTGGTGTGACTGTGTAGGTAAATGGATTGATGATGTAAGAATTAAGATGATTGTTATTGTTGAATGGTTTCAACATCGATATTAAACGCTAATGAAAGTAAACTTGATAAATAATAGAATTAATATTTAAATAAATAAATCAAAAATATTAAATAAATACAAAGATTTTATGAAATTTTAAAGTTAAAATTAAAATAAGCAAAATACAGCGGACGAACGCGTATGTTAAGTGGTATTTATCCCATCTTAGACCCGGATCTGTATACCATTGATATATTGTAGGTCTGGGGTCTCGTTTCTCACTTGAATATTTTAATCATTTCATCAATTTTATACTATTTTTTTCAAAGAGAATGAAACATTTAGTCAAATTTACGCTGCTTTGTAATAAAATGGATGTGTATTTTTATATTCTGAAAATTAAATGTGTTCGTATGTGTATGCTTAAATATGTAAGTATGTACATATTAGTATGTATTTCGTTAAATCGTTCGTTCGTTTGTTCATTCATTCATTCATCTATTTATCCATTCATTCATTTATTCATTCATTCATCTATTTATCCATTCATTCATTCATTTTCTACAAAACCGTATCTTGACAGTTTCCTCAAACATGCCACCACCAATAGAGTCTTCTGACACATTACCCTATCAAATTGAAAAAAAAATAGCAACAATAATAAAACGAATAAAATTAATAGCAATAATAATAATAATAAACTGTGGTTTTCATTAAAATAATTAGTAAATAAAATATAAATATATGAAAAAAGAGGAGGTATTGTAATGCTTACAAGAGTCACATTCCATAGAAAAGACATCAACAGCAGTAACGCTAAATTGACTTTTCCAATTTTCCTATCCATGAAAATGAATGAAAGAAAGAAAGATTGGAAGGAAAAGAACGAATGAATGAACGAATGAATAAAAGAATGGAAAAAATGGAATAATAGTAGTCAGCAATATTTATTTATATGACGGTGCGTGTTGGAAGCTCTAATCTATACCATGACACACGCACATAAAACTTTTATTCAATTGAAAAGAAAATTCGGAGAGATAGAGAGGAAAGAGAAAAAATAGAGGGAGAAAGAGCAGGGAGAGAGAAAGAGAGAAACAAAATTATCACCCAAATGAAAAAAAAATCGATGTAATATCAATACACGCACATGGAATAAACGATTTTAATGAAAAGGGAGAAGTTTTAACTCTTTTCAACGAATCTTTTTCTTTCTTGATCGACTTGAAAGTTGCAAATCTGTAATTGTAACGTGAAAAATGTTTCTCAAACAAATTTGTGCTGTATATTTGAGAAAAAATGTCCGTTATACCTAACCTTGAACGTTTTAAGGTGCTTCGAAGTTGAACTTTCGCTCAAGTAATATGTTTAACTGTAATTTAAACATGGCAAAACATTCCAAAATTGGAATTAGTCAAAATTTTACTATTACTATTGTTAGCAAAATGTTGGACAGTGAATGAATTTAAAAGCAAGAGATCAGTAATGTCACTCAGCAGTTTTAAAGTACGGTTCGGTTTCGTTTCCCACTCTTAGTTATAGCCCAGAAAAATGAGGGAACGGTCGTCTTGGTAGATAGTAACAAAGCTACGTACACGAAGAGAACTTTAAATCAGAAGTTGGCATGAAAAAAACTTTACAATAATTTCTATTATAATTATTATTTTTATGACTATCTTTATGTAGCTGAAGAGCACATCATCAAGGCAGAACTCAAAGGACATTGTTAATTTATTAAAAACATTTGTAAAGCCAATTGAAACTTCAATAATAATAATAATAATAATAATAATAATAATTATAATAATAATGATATTGTTAAAATTATACCATCATCACGTCACTTACCAAACTAAAACCAGAATTGAGACTACGAATTCGAGTTAATTATCATAACTCTTTTTTCATCATTAATAATAATAACATAATAAAAATACATGTGTATAGTTATCCAATTTTCACCATTCATTCATTCATTCATTCACTCATTCGTTCGTCCACTCACTCATTCGTTCGTCCACTCACTCATTCACTCATCCATTAATTTTCTAATACCTTAAACACACTCAACGAACAACATCACAGCCATCATCATCACCACCACTCTCCACATCAACAGTTTCATCGTCGTCGTCATTCTCTCATCCCAATCATCATCTTGCTCGTCATCATCATTCCCACGATCAACATCTTCTACAAGATTCCTAATACATGTTATCCGTGTTGGCAGATCTTGGCTTCTTTATTTTGTCCATATTCTTCGAGACCAAGTCATGCAAACTTGCCTAAGAATAAAATTTTTTTAAATTAATGCATTACTTTACCATTGAGAAACCTCAAACTTACTAATAATAAACAAACATTGATTCATTTATTCAATCAATCAATCAATCAATCAATCAATCAATCAATCAATCAATCAATCAATCAATCAATCAATCAAACAATCAACCAAACAATCAATCAGTGACCAGGCCAGTTCACTTACGTAATTATTCCTAATTTCAGTTAGGGCCAGTTTAACACTGATGAACTCTTTCTCATCCAACTCTTGAACAGCTCTTCTATAATCATCCTGTCAGTCAATCAGTCAATCAATCAATCAATCAATCAATCAATCAATCAATCAATCAATCAATCAATCAATCAATCAATCAATCAATCAATCAATCAATCAATCAATCAATCAATCAATCAATCAACCAATCCAGAAAACTGGCAGACAAAACCTAAACAGTCAGACTGCTAGAAATTCATGCAGACAGACAACCTTGACCTACTTACAACGTGCGGATATTTGGCGACCTTTGACACGATTTTTCCTCTCATTAGGAAGTACCTGGATACCTGGTCAAGGCAGGCAGCTGCCTCAGTCTCCACCTGTCGAGCTTCTGTGATAGAATCCTCCTGATTGGTCAATTGAGATGAGACAGATCAATTTGATTGGTTGGGATGAGATGGATTGGATGATTTGATTGGTTGACGAATATATATATATATAATTAGTTGGTTTAGTTGAATAATTGATTTGATTGATCGAATTCAAATTTGATAACTTGAGCATGTTGATTAGGCAGAGTAGTTAAACTAGCAATTAGAAGTTTGATAGAGTGAACTTCATGACTAAAAGAAACACAGATCGACACTAAACAACAACAACAACAAAAAACAAACTTGGATCGAGACACCAAAGTTGTTGCCGTCTTCGATTTTTGGTACCATGAATGTTATCCACATCTTGACCTGGAGACGTCAACAAACATAGAGAAGGACATTTTCAATCAACATCATGACATTAAAATGGAGAAATGAGTGTCATCAAGACTTCCAATAAAAATTATATCAATAAGAAAGTTAGTAATTACTCCACACCGTCCATCAATCAAGCAACCAATCAAATCAACTGGCCAATCAAACACCTCAGCAAACCAACCAGCCAATCAAACAACTCAGCAAAACAGCAAACAAACCTGATTGGCTATTTCAACTTGCTCAATGGCGTGTGGTTTAATTAAATCTAATAGATCGGCAAGCTGAGTATTTAGTGGTACCGAGCCACCAGGTATGGAATACACCTTCGTACCTATTTACACCGAAAATTAGTATTACAAATTTTTGAGTACAATTACAAATTGCAAAAAATACAATGAGGAAATACACAAACACAATTAACAGTTGCGGTAGGCCACTTAACAAGTTACAACACTCCTACATAGTAAAACTAATATTAACCTATATTTTCAACATCTTCCAAGCAGTCCATCTTTCTTTTTTTAGCATTCTGTTTGTGTTTGCATGTATGTATGTATGTATATATGTATGTATGCGTGTGTGTATGTGTGCGTGTATGTGTGTGTGTACCTAAAAACAGTGTGCAACTAACTTCACAGTTGATAGCTAATCGCGGGGACGATGTCACCTCTGGAACTGGAATATTTAACTTGACAATCACTGACTTGTAGCGACTCATCGAGAAAATGTCAGACTTTTTTGAAAAGATTTTTAATGATTTAAATTTGAAATATTTACTAATTTATTATTTATTCTATTATTTATCAATTAATAATTAAGTCACAGAAATTTTAATTTAAAGACCTCTAATAACTTATTCAGTTCCAATATCTTTTTTGGAATGGTTTCTTTGATGAGTTGCTCCCCCTGTAAATTTAGATAAAGCAAAATAATATAATAATATCCAGAACTTATCCATAAATTATGGATAAGTTTTATAAGTTATATAAGTTTTATATTATAATATGATGGGTGTTTGTTTAGATTTATAAATACTGTGTAACTGTATTTCATGTTTGAAAAAAATGAAGTTTTGTAATTATTTTATAAAATAAGATATGCTACTTTAACTTTAGTCTTTAATTAAATAAATGATTTCAAATTTTTTTGGTGTTATCAAAAAATAAAATGGACATCTTGGATTGGCCGATATATGTAATGTGTGGATAACAAAAGGAAAAATCTATTATCACTTTTATTTTAAAAGATTAGCCCTCGTTTTATTTTTATTTAGTTTTTTTAATAAACAGATGATCTGGTATTATACTGCACTAACTTTGGCTTTAGTTTTGTTTTTCAATTCTTCAACCTGACAAAAAAAATGTGGCAGGTATTTGTAAATATTACACAAACAAACAAACAGATAAAAACTTGAATTTGGTGGTAAAAAAAACTATATGAACTAAAAAATGACTATCTGACTGAGATTCATTATTCATTAAATAACAATTATAATTACATTTACTGCAATTTCGATTTTAATAATTTTTATTTTTAATTCACGATTTAGCTTATCTTACTTGCGTCTCGGCCTCTGACATGACGGGCTGGATGGACTTTGCGCCCTAAAATCACGAAATAAAAAATACCGGTAAATAATTTTAGATAGCATTCAGGATGGAAATCTCAAAATTAAAATATCGGGAATGTTCTAGCGTATATAAGCGACCATAATGAATAAAACAATAAATTTACACTAACTCGCTTTCGGTCGTGCGACATTTTTAGGATTAGTTAGGATTTAGAAATGAGCCCGAAATCAGTAGGGGCATAAAAACACAACAAAACTCTGCCGGAAATATTTACTTTTAGCAAATAAAATAACAATTTGATGAAAAGTTAACTTAAGTTAATAATTGAGTAATGTAACGTTTGGGCTTTGATACGAGAAGAATGCCTGTGGACGCACAGACACACACACGCACATTGATGAAGATGACAATGATTAGCTAGGCTCGGTCAAATTGCCATAAAAACCAACATATTTAAGCCTAGTCACAAGTTTTTTGGATTTTGGAGATATAAAATCGTTGCGATAACAATTCGGTGAATCCTTTGTTGTTATGCTATTTTCGTTCTTTCAATATTTTTTTGTATGATTTTGACATCTTTAAGAAAGAGGTTAATTTTTCTTGAGGCTGCCATAGAGGTTCCTCTGCGTCATTGAATTTTTGTATTAGAATCATTTCATTACGTAACGTCATTTCGTAACATTCATGGTGTCTGTATATATCATAATTACATTACAACCAACATTCAAAATAGCTTAGGTACGTAAATACGAATATCCTTTCAATAAATAACAATAGTACGTTATTGTGTAACCACTTAAGCATTTAGGAACGATTCAGCTCAATTGAACGTTGTTGTAAGTTGATTATTTTGTTGTTGTAAGTTGCTTATGTTGATCTTTATTAAAACCTAACTAAAATGGCATAAGACCTGCAAGAGAATGTCACTACTACAACATTAACCAACGGCATTATGAAAAAATCTTATTTAGCGCTGGATCGAAGAAATGAACGAAAAGTTTAAAATTTAAGTTTAGAAAAAAAATGTGTGCTTGGACTAGATAAGAATCACACCGTTACACATAAGCCAAATAAGAACCATCCATTTGCGTCTAACAAATCAAAATTCATCGTTCATTTCCAACTTAACTAGTCATGGGGTCACCGGGTGCGGGTCTGACCTTTAATCTTTGGTCTGACCCTCTAAATTTCTCTCCTGTCAGCCCCATAATCGTGCGTAACGTTTCAGGGACAACATTTTCAATCCAACCCAACACTGATCGTACAAACATCAGAAGACAAGACCAGAGAGGAAATGAATGAATGAATGAATGGATGGATGGATGGATGGATGGATGGATGGATGGATGGATGGATGGATGGATG